AAAAACTGATTTTTCAATCTAACAAAACCAATAGATTCACACGTGAAAACGGTGTGAATATAAAAAATATATGAAAAAGGAGAAGCATTTTTTTAAGCATCATTAAAGCATTCATCGCTTCATCTTCCTGCCACATATTTCTCTCTCGTTTAACCAATTCAATGCGACACGTTATTTATGAATTGAATAATATTAAATAGTGTATGGCATTAATAAACATTATCGATATTATAAATTGGATAATTCTTTCTATCTATATCTTTTCATCAGGTTTATTTGCTTGTTCAAAGCAGCGGGCGATTTATAGATTTTTCATCGTCATAAGAAAGTTTTTAACACTTTAGTTTTTTGCATAAAATATGAGGATAACAAGATGCGGTCGAGATGGTGCTGTGTTAAGGTAAATAATTAATTTTTTATTAAGTCAGAATCATATGCAAGACATTAAAGTTTCAGCGAATGGATTTGCTTTATTTTTGAGATATTCAAATTGTTTTTGGTGTTTTTACTTTAATGGTGGTTAAGGCGCATTTAAAAATAAAGCTTAACATTGTTTAAAAAGCTTCTATTCTACTTTTAAAGTTCAGTCTTTGTTCAAAAAGCTCTGATTTTGTTCGAAAAGCTGATGTTTTGTTCAAAAAGCTCAAGTTTTATTCAAAAAACTCAGATTTTTTGTTCAAAAAGCTCAAGTTTGTTCAAAATTTTCAAACTTTATTCAAAAGCTCAGATTTCTGTTCTGATTTTGTTCAAAAAGCTTCATTTTATTCAAAAAGCTCAAGTTTGTTCAAAAAGCTATGATATTTTGTTAAATAAGCTTAGATTTTATTCAAAAAGCTCTTTTATAATTTGTTCAAAAGTTCAAATTTTGATCAAAAATCTCAGATTTAATTGAAAAAAGTTCAGATTTTACATTTTGTTTAAAAAGCTTGAATTTTTTAAAATCTCAAAAAACTTTAATTTTTAAAAAATATCACATTCAAATAATTATCAAACTCTCAAAACAAATTAAATGAAGCACCAGAGACCAAAAGAATCGCAAAACAGAATTAAAAATAATTCACGAGAAAAGTTCATTCAAAGACGTACTGAATAATGCTGATTGCTTAAAAAAAGCAAGAAAAAAGTGGCTAATAAATTTTTAAAATATTATGCATAATTCATTCAACAGAATCGAACAGCTAAGCAAAATAAGAAAATCAAATATTCACAGCATGCAACCTTTGTCGCTTTGATAGGAAAAAGTCAAGAGATGAATTAAAAACAGCAACTAATTATCATTAATGGTTTTCCTAAACATTTTTTATTGCTTTTTAATGGTCATATTTTCTGTCCGGTGTTTAGAGCAATTTATTGATAACATGGCGAGATTTTTACTTCATTTTCATGTTGAAAAATTAGTCTCATAATTTTTAAAAGAGAAGCGGAAAAGGCACGAAATGAAGGAGAAAAAAATGTTTTTTTTTTTGTTCAATCTGATTATTGATTTTTCATTCCTTTCTTACTCGCTCTCACCTTTCTACTGCTCTCGCATTTATCTTCACTTTAGCATCAACGGAAAAAAAATTCTGCCGGTTCTCGAGTTCATTCTGTGTACCACAATAAATCAAATTGTATTAATAATGCGACATGTAATGCTACATTTTTGGATCATTATTATTATTAAAAGGAGCATTTGTTTCTGTTTTGTCTGTCTGTCATCTAAAAATGGCTTTATTTTTTGAGCTTTAATTTTTTCAAATTTAATTCAACCGTTATTTTTCATATATTTTTTTCAATGTTTAAAATTGACTCTTGAACTTGCAAAATCAGCGTCAATTACCCCTTCAAGTTTTAAAAATCAACACAACAATCCCTCTTTTCAGTCCACTGACATCGATTCTCTCATTTTAAAATTAATGATTAATTAAGCATGCTTGCAATCAGGTGTAATTTAACAAAATGAAATACAATTGCTTATTGTCTCATCTCACATTATTAATTTGTATCACTTTATAACACATGTGACCACGAGAGCGTGGAAAATTAAAATGAGAGACACACGAAGCTCTCACATACAATAATCATTTTATATCTGATCATAGTAATGAAATAAAAAAAAGAACCGCAAATAACATTCATGTACAACATCACTTTTTTTATGCTCAACTCTCGGAATCGTTTTAAAAAATTTTTACGAAAAATGGCATCATTTTGTTCATTGTGTGGCGAGAATGGATATTCGTGGTAAGATTAATTTAATTAATTACAATGTTTTATTGTATTCGTGCTATATTCTGCAATCATACAAAAAATAATTTTATTGCAAGCTAGTTGTGCAAAATTTACATTTCTATTCATGTGCTTTGCATTCATGATATTCAGTATGCAATAATAGAATGAGCTTAAATGAACGACGCTTTAGTGAATATAGATTTGAAATGTCAGAGATAATTTTCATTTATGTAATAATTGTGGCTTTATCAGGCTCAGCAAACCTGTCAGATTGATATTTTTGGAATATTAAGAACATTTTGTCATATTATGCTTGTTGATTAAATCAGTGGAATAGGCAAAGCGTTGGTAGAGCGTTGGTCTAACGTATTAAAAGTTCTAGGTTCGATCCTAAGTCAAATTTTACTATTTTGTTAACTTGAATGTTAAAAAATTATTATTTTTTGCTCAAATCTCATCACAATAACGCTTTTACCTAAAACTCAAACTTAGTCAAAATTACCAGCAACTGTTAACACCAAAATTTAAGAATAACACAAATAGCCTAATCCACCGACACTATCAACTCCACAACATCAACAAAATTATAAATTCAAACAAAATCTCATTCCAGATTCAATGCATATCAAACATTGCGGTAGGTTAAGCTCTATCCATAAGTATAAACATGTAAATCAGGTGCACTCATGTCAAACAACTTGCTGCGAATTTTAATTATAGTCTAGCCACCATCAAGATTAATTGTGTTCAAAACATAAGCTGTACAATATCGTGATTTTCTTATTATGCATGCAAACCAGATCGTTGACTGAATTATGTTTTTTTTTACATTCTATAGTAAATATGATTAATAAGGCATGGGTAAAGGCGAAAAAAAATTCAAGAAATTGATGAAAAAAGTGATTTATTATTTATCATTTATTCTTTGCTCTTCGGCATTGAATGTCTAGTTTGCAGAGATGGAATCTGGATGTGATTTTTATGAGGCTTCTTAGCAATGACTTTGATAGGGCGTCAGTAGATTTTTATTTCAGGCAGTGCTTGATCTGATATCAGTGCTGAATAGAATCTATATGTAGCTAGTCTTATGGAGGTTAGTCTGCCAGACTGATAGGAAGACCTCTATGGTCTAGTAGTTAAGTAAGAGACTGAAAACTGATTAGGATCTCTAAAGGTTGGGTTCGATTCCTTTAAAAATTTGACCTCACATTCTCACCTTTCAATTAAGAAGCTTAAGTTGCTCGCTTCCTTTGTCCATTCACTTCCATTATTTTAACTCTAATCAATGGCAAAGAGGAAGGGTTCAGGACATCTAGTTCCTCAGCCCTGGACTTTATTCGCATATTTGTTTAAAATTTTATTATTTTTTCACTATTTCCTCTCAACGCACACACAAGTGTAAATTTTCTATAGAAGTGTAGAGTATCTCTTGAAGGCATGCAATGGAAAATTTGTTGTTAAATCAAATGATGTTGACATGAGAAGAAAACCAATTTCATCGTCTGTCATCATTCATTCAATCATATTTTTTTCATATTCACTCACATGACTGTATAAATACAATTTCATTTAAGCTTTATTTTTCTAAGTGTACTTGCATGTACTCAAATCTCAGATGGGGATTTTTATTTTATTTTATTTCGTTGTTGTTTTTTTTTTGATTCTCAGGAAAATTTTCGGTTTTTCATTTCATTCATTCATTTTTTATGGGGAAATTTATGAATTTTTTTCTTTCTTTTGATGATAAATCTCTCATCTTACTCTTTCCACATGTATGATATGAATAAGAAGATTTCCATCTCAATGCTCAGTTTGAGTTACAGTAATTGTATTTATGAATGATACAAAATTTTATTTCATTTTCTGTTAATTTAGTTTGAGTGATGAAACTTTTCAGTCATGAAAATGATCCATTTGGATATGGAAATTTTTTATATAGCAATGTAGAAGGATGTCTTCTTCATTAAGGCAATTTGTGGATTTTAAGATAAAGTTTTCAATTTTAGAATTTTTTGGGAACGATATGGAAGATACCTATTTGATGATAATCTTGAAATTTTAAAGAGTTTGAGTAAACATGGGCTGTATCTAAGAATTCAGGATTGTTTACTAGTAGCTTATGTCTAGGTAGCTTAGTAAATCATTGCATAGATACAAAAGGAGTATGTATTTCTGTTTGAACTAAGTTTTATCTGATTATCACATCCCAGATATCAATTGTGTGTAAAGCAGTGTTGTTCAAACTGTGTGCCGTGGCATACTGGTGTGTCGTAAAAAATTTTTGTAGATGATGTGAACCGCATGCTGTGTACGACTTTGGTAATGGCTTACCCCTAAGGTGTTCCGTGGCTCAAAAAATTTTGGACAACACTGGCCTAAGGTATGAACACTACCTAAGTGTTTGAATCTTTTGATGTTAACCTCGTGTAGTATGCTCTCTAATAAGCATTGATGTTTGGTGATAGGGTCGTTTGATGAAAAATTGCATTCCAGGATAACAAATATGCTATATATTTATAAAAGTGAAGAAAATGTGGCTTGACTAGCTTCACAACCAGGTGAGAACCTAAGGAGGGAATTTCCTTCATATTTCTCACTTTTCTTCTATTCACTATTTACTTGGCTACACTCTTGATCACATCGTATCTTCTTAGGATTAGCTTTAACCCTAATGGTTCAAGTTTAGAACTTAATATTTGAATAATTTCCAATTTATAGATTTCGTTGGCTAATATTCTAATAAATTTGAAAGGTTTGTAGTAATAGACACAATATAAATCCTTTATTTACACTTTATTACACTTTACATGATCCAGAGTTCGAAGTCGATACTGTTCGTTGATTCAACTCGAAGTCAACTACTTCATGCAATTAAGTTGACTCTAATCGACTTCGAGCAATGTATTCTTATCGTCTGACTCTATTTCAAAATCTACAAAATAAACTAGATTCTAAAAATAATTTTAACTAATTCATGCCCTCATCTTTAAGTTTGACAGAAGAAGTAACACTCATTAAAGCACCGAATAGGAGAAATCTCATATTGATCTTTAAAATAGCTCATTATAGTCAAGCAATAATGATCTTGACCATGAAATTTTTTCTGTGGACTTCCGATTTTCTTCGACGAATAAAAAGTTACATTTGTTTCAAACATTCTGTACTCTTCCTTATCATACATCCACTTCCCATCAATCCATAGCACAGTGCCACCTCCACTTCCGAAAAATTCCCTAGCAACATTAAAAACTGTCTTTTTCTCCTTATCAGAATGAATTTGCAGCAACTTCATGTCATTTGATTTACATATTTTGTGAGCTTCTTCGAATGATTTTGCGATTGGAACGAGACATGCGGAGCTGTTTTGGCTGTAGTTGAAGTATTTAAGACATGAGGATTCTTCTAAGATGACAGTTGTTGGTGTGACAGGCTCGGTTAAATCTGTACTGAATGTTGATGAGTATTCTGTTGGTTCTGTGGTGTTTTGTAGATTGTTTGGGATTGTTGCTGGATTTTGACATTGAACTAGTTTGGGTAGGATTTGTAGGGTTAAGATTATTGCAATTAATAGAGTTCCTAAGGTGAAAATTGAAATTTTTGTCATATTCAAGTAATTGCTAATCTAAACAATTTCTTACCTAATTTTCCAGCCATTCCTAATTTCTTTATTTTTGCTACAATTAAAAGTACAACTCGACTTTAATTCTTCTCAATTATCACTGTAGTATATTAGATTTTTCAATGTTTTCTCATAGCTTATTTTACACAGACTCAATATCATTCATGAAATACATTACTGATAACGCAGTAGTAAGCTGTGCTTCATTCATTCAGTTGCTCTTCATAAATACAGAGATAACTTCAAGATTTCTAGAGAATTAGAGATCAATTTATTGATTAATCAAGTTCAATGGGTATTACTGATGAGGTAAGGACTTACTGAATGGTGGATTTTCCCTGAATTTCAAGTTAATCAGCAGAATAACTTTGTTAAGCTGTATTGTACTTTATTTATCATCCGGAAGTTCATAGTTTGTGTTTTGCGTATATAAGCACTTAGTCAACGCATTATAGAAACTTTTATCACTCTAAATGTTTGTTTGCTTAATTCTAAATAATCAAGAGTTTAATATTTATTGTTTTAAGTCAAACTTTACAGATTTACAATAAAAGTAATTTTTAAAATTGCATCCAAAATTTCCAATTTCATACCGATTTTCATTAAAGCTCATTACAATCAAGCATCTTCCATGAAAAAGTTTAAATTTTGTAGGAGCATTAATTCTTTCTGTGAGGTAAAAAGATTCATCTTGTGGATAAGTAAACCATCCGGATTTTGTGGTTGATAATTTTCCATTAATCCAAATCAAGGTTCCATTATTTGTAGAAAAATGTTCATTAGCATTGCTGAAAACTCTTATCATTTCATCATCGGAACTAATTTCATACAACGTCATATTATTTGCAGTACAAAATTTACTGGCATCTGTAAATGATTTTGATTTTGTAACCAAGCATCCTGCTGAGGATTCTGATGTCTCAAAAATTGACAGACATACTCGCGGTACTCGATATTGAGCGTAGAGTTTTTCAAATTTAGTATTTGTGGCTTCAGTTGATGACATTTTTGTGTCAGATGAACACAATGATATTGATAGACATACCAAAAAGATATTGATTGCTGAACAATGCATAAACAAGTAATACAAGAAAGTTTCTGATTATTTATCATACCTGATAGTAAGTACTGCATTTTAGGAATCACTAAAGTGTTTCTTTACTGCTTGACTTGCGTTAAAATAGAAAATGATAGCAAAAATGAGAGAATTTTGGTTGTATTTTAAAAAGAGGCAGAACTTGACGTCATACTGATTACAATAACTTATAAATATAGTTCAAAAATTCATAAATGAAAGGCAATCGCTAGTAAAAATGCTACTTTAAAACTTAATTCATGAGCAAAGATGACAAAACATTCAAATCACAACAAATCCACAATTTAATTTAATTTAATTCTTTAATATAAATTTAAAGCAATATGTGAAATTCAAATAAGTATCAAGCATATTTGTAAGACTTTCAATCACCATCATCATGCTGTGTGCATGTGCATTTATAAATAGTTGCATCGTCATTGAATTCAAAATAGCATAACAACATCAATTCAGCAATCTGTCTTCATCATCATTCGATATCCACTGTACGATGTCTTCTCAATGAATAAATTTCATTTTATATTTATTTACGACCGTATTTTTTTAATGTAAAATCAAAATAGAATTGAAGATGAAATTCAATTAAATAAATTTAATTTTAATTTTTATTTTTTCAATGTGACGGTATAATAAGAGATGGTCATTTTTAGTGCCAATTTCACAATGCAATGCAATTTTCTAGACAACAATAAAGTTGCATTTCAATAATGTCTGCGACTGTCCCGACAAATTGTTATTTCTTCTTGTTCTTCACATGTAAAGTAAGCCATTCATTGATATTGTGAAAGAGGTTGAAAAAAAAAACATGGAAAAATAAAATAATTTGATTTTGTATGCTGAATTTTTAACAATTTTTTGTTACTCGTAAACAGAACCTTTTGATGTGGCATCTTCAGAAGATAATATTAAAGTCACGAATGAATAAACAAAAAAATTCACTTGATTGAGAGAGAATTATTAATGGAAAATATAGAAAATGAGAATCACAGTGAGGTCTAGTTAATGTGCATAATAATCAACTTTATGATAAATTAATTTAAATAAACGAAAATTTTCTTCTCATTTTCGATTTTTTCCCTTTTTTGGTTTCGTGTGTGATTAAATTTCTTGGTAGGGCTTCTGATGTTGATTTGTTTTGATGTTGTAGCTTAAATCTTTCAGTTGGATTGATTTAAAGATCTTTGAATTCTTGAACTTGTCAACTTTACAAACCAAAATAACCAAAAATGCGGAACTGACAAACTAGAAAACCGACTTCTTATCATAATTTGATCATTTTCGATCAATTTTGATCATTTTTGTTTTATTTTGATTATTTTGATCAGTTCTATACTCTCGACACGAACAGAAGTGATGGACAGACTTATATGGTTCTTATGATCGAGTTTTAGTCGTTCAAAAACTAAAATCAAATAAAAGTTCATAGATTCTTATCTCAAAAAGCAGGAATCATTAGATTATCTAAGTGTTGTCCAAACTGTGTGCCGCGGCACACTGATATGCCATAGATTTTTTTGAGAACAACACGAGCCGCACGCAATGTGCGACTTCGGTCTTGACTTACCCCGAAGGTGTGCCGTTGCTTAAAAAGGTTGGACAACACTGATCTAGAGTATAGATAATGTATACTCAAATATTGATTCTAAACCTTAATATCATCAATAATAGAAATATTCTGTTATTATATCTGGATAGACTTCTGAACAGAACTGAAATGTACTGCGAGAAAGTTGAGAACAACCTGCCGATTAGAGGATTATTTTTTGCGAATACTGCTAGCTATATATATAAAGTCACTAAAGGACTTGTATACTCGAATCTACAATTTGAAAAAGCTAGAACGGCAAGTCGCAATAAGAGTTATCTGAAACCAGCTGCTACAAGAACTGTCAAGGCAAAGAAAGCAATAACAGCAGTCGGTCCAAGAATTTTCAACAGCCTACCAGATGAAATTAAAGCAAGCTATCACTTTCCAGGATTCAAATATGCTATCAGGTCACATCTCCAACAAGAAAACATGATGAAGCTGTGCTTTAATGGTGAACTTTTAAGTAAATACATATAAATAAGCTGAAATGAGAATTAAAGTTTTAGTCAAAACATCTGGTGTAAAAAAGCGGAACTTGTACAAATCTAGAACTACTTATCCTGACTGAAGAGTATCATCCTAATGTCCATCAAACAAAAGAAAACTTTTTTCTCCAATTATGTGCTCGATAAACGCTAATTTACTTAACTTTCACTAAAAATGATAATTTTCCACTGTGATATTTACAAACAGACTGAGATGACAGATTCTTAATATTCAAATACCGAGAGGATGTAATGAAAGCGGTTATTCTCTATGTAGAACTATTAGATCAATTATTTTTTTCAAACCTAGAGTAACTGTTATAATTAGAGCTTTTTTTTATAATTGTTTTGATAAGAGGTTTCTTAAAGGCAACTTGTTGCACTGAAACTCTTCTTACTTAAGCTGTTGCAAGAGAATATGTATAATTAACTTAAAGTTCTCATTGTATATGACATATTTATGTATATTTCTCCGTTGCTCGAAAAAGGTTTTTTATGCCTTCTTAAATAATTTAAGTAATATTTAAGGGGGCTTTTTCCTTTTGTAAGAGTGAAAGCAAACATAATAATAAATAATAATAATAATAATAATAATATTCTATAAAAAGCAACATACAATAGGAAACTTTAAGCTACTCGTCCAAAAAGTTTGAATCTAGATCCAGTTTCATGATTCACAGTTCCCAATTTGTTTAGATTTTTCCCATTAAGCTCTTCATGCATATTGCACTTTTTTTCGTATCACATAATTAATTTTTTTTATTTTAATTGCACTTTATTGCATTTATTGACGACATACTGTCGTGTAATAATTCACATTTTACACTTTTGTATTTGTATACATATGAACAAGTATTATGTAGGATCAAACTTCTAATCTTCATATCTAGGTTTCAAATAAACTAAGGCTCTCGTTTCCATCTTCTGTGGACGTGACGTGATACTTTTCAGGTCCGTTCTAACAATATTCCATTCGTGGGTAATCTTGTAGCTCTCGTTCCTATTTCTCCCACTACACTTCAAGTTCCTGACCCGTTCCTTAATCCACCGATGCCCAAATGCCCAATTATGGCTTGATCTCGTACATTAAGCAGTCGAAGTATCTAAACTTCCGAAAAAGAACAAATTGGAAAAGGCTGGATTCGAACCGACGATCTTCGAGTTACCATTCCAAATTTGAGCCAAGCGTCTTACCTATTCGACCAGCAAGGCACTTAACTGCTTGACAACCCTAAACTTCCTAAATCGAACTTCGAATCATCAAAGTCAACAACCATAGAACCCCTACTCCAAAAAAAGAGACTAATAATCATAATCAATAAGCAGAAGGAATTCAAGCCAAAACATTATGCTTTTGACACGATTTGTTAAAGATGAAAATTGAGACTAATATTTTATTAAGAGGAATCATCGCGGCTGGAGATTTTTTGAACAAAAAAAAATAAATTGTTTATTTAGAGAAACTTTAAACTGCTCGCAAGCTCGGCACGCGATAGAAGACAAATTGATCAAAATGTGTGGAATGTCGGAAGATAAAACGGATAGAAGTAAATTGAAACTCTCTTCATGTTATCGTCGAGATATCTCACGTAAAATGAAGCTACTATGCTATGTTGCTAGTTTCTCTTACATTGTAGCTTACATTTTAGATTGGAATGAAATATTTTATAACATCAGTTACATTTTTGCTGTATAAAATTGCAATATAAATCAGTGACAGAAAACTTTGTAGACTGAAAAACAATAAACGCTTCATTTTTCAAGCTTCAATCATCACTTTCATCTTGTTGGATAGTGCAATTAATAATAAATCCTGAAAATATATCCATGATATATTGTTATTGGTGTTTATGAGATTTATAGTAG